TAGTGATTCTATGATTCTATGACTCGCTCCAACGGGTCTGTAACCTTCTCACGCTGGGAGCTGGACGCAGCACTCCAGGTGGGGTCTCACAGGAGCAGAGTAGAGGGGGAGAAACCCTTCCCTCAAGCTGCTGGCCACACTTCTCCTGATAGGCACAGAAGTTCTGAAGTGACTTGCTTTGCTGACCTCTGGGAACATTGCTAAGATGAGATGCATTAAAATATTTTTATTTAAAAGTGCAAAGATTTCTGTTTCTGGTGACTCATAGAGGGAAATATGATTTGTCTGAGGGAAATGTTTTGAGTTTCCTCAGCCTTTCATGCAATGCTGTGGGCATTTTGCTTTAAGATTTTTTCCCACTAAGTCGATTTAGGGCGTAGTGCTGATTAAGAGGGAAGCAGAGCTGAAGGAGTCCTTTTTTCAGAACCTTTATTATGTTGCCAGTTCTTCTCTTAACTTTACCTTCAAATAGAATTACTAAAATGATCCTCTGAACATAAATAAAATAACTTGCAAAAAAAAAAAAATTGCATGGAGTAGGTTGTGCACCCTCAGTTACAAATATTCCGCTTTATCCTGCTCCACAAGGACAGCCACTGTCCCCTGAGATAGCAGGACCACTCCCGAATCACTGGTGAACAGTGCTTGAACAGAGACAAATAGATGTTCATCTTTTAAGTGTGGCAGAATTCACTTGTGTGCCAGGGAGCGTGAAGGTAGTGGTTGTCGTGTTTCTTAATGCTGCTGTGTCTTTCTCTCTTGCAAGAACTAAATATATTTGAAATAAGCTAGGAAGTTGTAATGCCAACGCCTTTTCTTTGGTAGAAATTTCAGTGGTTAACCTATAACGAGCTCTGCCAATGAGAAAATGCTAGTATTGAGCTGAGAAAGGACCACCAAGAAGGCGGATGTTGAAGACCGGTGTTAGAACAAATATCTGAATACGCAGGACGTATTAACGCATCTAGAACAGCTTCTTGCAGTTTGTGTTCTGTTGAGAAAATCTTTTACTGATTGGGCGTTCTTTTTGTTGTGTTGCATGGAAGACAAAGAGCTTTACACTCTTGGAAATTTTAATTTTCCAAATTAATTTGGAATTAATTTTTAATTTCTAATTTTAATTTTTAAATTAGAGTGTGAGCAGTGCTGAATTTATGATGCATTTTATATAATTTATAAGCTTTCTCTCAAAAATTATTGAGTGTTCTGTTAAATATCTGTATCCAGTTATTACTCTAGGAAAAGTAGCAATGATTTGAGCTGTAGAAACCTCTTTGTTCATAATTTTAAGTTTAAAAATGTTTTTCTTCTATGACAGGATTTTTTTCCTTCACCATATACCTGATGGTACTTGAGATTTCATGTTTAGTACTTTCACCTGTGAATGTTTGCCTGAAAATTAGAAAAATTGTATAAAAATCAGCATATTGCTGAGTGTATTTAGAGGGTGTTGATTTATTGTCAGCATGCTGATGTTTTGTTTAAAACAGCTCAGTTTCACTATTACTTTAACATTTGTAATAATTTATTGTATAAATATAACTTAATTAATTATATTCTGCTTTTGCTTCTGCAGTCCATACAGTGACACTGTTTCTTAATATCTTTGGATGTTTGGCCTGGTTTTACGTTGATGCTACGCGAGGGGTTGATTTTGGATTGAGTGTTCTCTGGTTCTTGCTTTTTACCCCTTGTTCTTTTGTCTGCTGGTACAGACCACTTTATGGAGCTTTCAGGTAACAACTTCAACTTGACTTAGGATATTTAAAAGCTTGTTGAAATGCGTTAACTTTCCGGAATTTGCTTGATTATCATTATGATAATCTTTTAATATGCTTTCACTAGAAATAAGTAGTATGTTTGCCATAAATGCAATTGTTGTATTTGAGACATAGATGGCAAAAGCTAGGAATATAATGGAATAGCCTTTGAAGTATTTATAGCTTCTGTCATTCACAGAATATTTGTAGGCGGTATTTAACTGTAATTTAAACAGCAAACCTATTCTGTATATTTTGCATTTAAGCAAGAGCTGCTTCAGGGTTCTGGTCTGCACTGTGCTTCAGTAACTCTGTATTAGATTTTATCTCCTTTTACTGGTAAAACATTGTCTTCCCATCCTGCCAGCACTGTGAACTTCAGTCTGAAAAGTGAGGAGAATTCTGTTCTTCGTTTATTGTAGCAAAACTCCTGTGTTTAGTCTAAGCAGCCTGGCTGTGTGCTGAAGAGAACACTAAGGAATAGTGTCTTGCTGCTCTTCTCATCTCTGTCAGAGGCGGAGGGGGCAAAGATACTATATTAAATAAGTGACTCTTGCAGATAAACACACTGCAGAACCCTGCAATTACTGATACTTCATGACACTGTCAGTAAATGAAAGTACTTTTACTCTAGTTCACACTGAAAAAAATGTTTAGATTGGTACAAAAGTAATTGCAAAAAGTCATTAATTTCCTGGCTGCTTTAATCTTTTCTTTTCCCCCCCCCTCCTCTTTCAGGAGTGACAGTTCATTCAGGTTCTTTGTGTTCTTCTTTGTATATATCTGTCAGTTTGCTGTACATGTACTTCAAGCTGCAGGATTTCAAAGATGGGGAAACTGGTGAGTATTCATTCTGCTGCAGCATTGTACTGTCTGTAAGACACGCGCTCAAAATTGACACAGCACCTGCAGTACAGTCAGTGTGGGGGTTTTTTCAAAAAATATCATTTGTTCACTCGAATTGTTAGATTTAGCATTCAAAAAAAAAGGCATTTTTGGAGTGTTTTTTAACTAGCAGAAGTGGGTGAAATGTATCCCAAAAGCGTGAGTGTTACTAGGCTGGACAAAATTTTACACCTTCAATGTAAACCACTTAGAACCATTCCTTTATACATTACCTCCTCAATTTTGCAGGTGTGTGTGGAGATGTTACTTGATCTAAAGGTAAAGACATTAAGCAAAACTTAGGAAAATAAGAAAAAGAAAAAACTGAAAATAATTTAGACCGTAATACTTTACCGTTTGTGTATTATTTTATATCATTAGTTATATCTTAATAAATAGCAAGCATATTGATATATTTAGTAAACTTATGGCAAAAATGTGAAGAATGAGTCAACAGTGTATTCAGCTGAATATAGAATCATAGAATCATAGAATGGTTTGGGTTGGAAGGGACCTTAAAGACCATCTAGTTCCAACCCCCCTGCCATGGGCAGGGACACCTTGCACTAGACCAGGTTGCTCAAAGCCACATCCAGCCTGGCCTTGAAGACATCCAGGGATGGGGCATCCACATCATCTCTGGGCAACCTGTTCCAGTGCCTCACCACTGTCTCTGTGAAGAATTTCTTCCTGACATCTAATCTAAACCTCCCTGATTTCAATTTATACCCATTACCCCTTGTCCTGTCACTACAGGCCCTTGTAAAAAGTCCTCTCCCAGCACCCTTGTAGGCCCCCTTCAGATACTGGAAAGCTGCAATGAGGTCTCCTCGGAGCCTCCTCTGCTCCAGGCTGAACAAGCCCAGTTCTCGCAGCCTTTCGTCATAGGAGAGGTGCTCCAGCCCTCTGATATAGTGGTATGCATTTGATATAACTTGAAAAGCTCGTTTTCCCAAGTCAACTCCTTATTCTGTAATCGTTGATTTTTTTTCTTTTTGCTGCTTCTATGTTTATGAGCTTTTACATGAGAAGCTTTTATGTGTTTTAACTTGTCCAATATTCAGATTTTACAAGGAAAAGCTATTGGGAATCAGTCACCATCCTTGGAAAAAAAAACCCACCAAAAACCATTAATTAATTAAAAGTGTGATTGTAGTAGCCAGCTGGCAGTGTGGAGAGCCGTGGCTGAGTAACGACGCTACTATGTACCAGTGCTTTTTGCTGCAAAACAGCAGTGCTTTACAACTACAGTGCAAGGAAAGATCCTGTTATTGTTTTTGCTCTCCAGTCCACTTTTGCTTTGTCATGGATACATTGATTAACACAGTAGACAAGTATTTTAGAGGGTCAGCTCTCAAAGCATGCGCAGTGTGTTTCAAAGGATACTTGGGGAGGGGCTATGAAAGTAGTCAGATCATCAGAAAACGCTAACTGAAATTTGGATTTTGGAGTTTTGTGGTCCAGTGGGACATAGGGGATGTCAAAACAACACGAACAGGTAGAGGAAAGTTTTACGGTTGTTTGGGTTTATAGAAATGTTTTCCCTTTTTTTTTTTTTCCTGTGGAAGAATCTTTTCCATCTTGATGTTTTATTTTTCTTAGGCAGCTTTCTTACAGCTTTAAGATTGGTATTTTTTCTCTTGGTGTTTCAATTTTGAAGAATGGGGAAATATTTGAGGTCGATACTGAACAGTAGTCTTTTCTGTTAGTTAACCTAAGGCCATCTGCTTTAAAAATCTGTTATATTAGCCTCATTCCAGAAAGCATCATTGTGTAGATTGAATTCATAAAATCATACAACAGTTTAGGTTGGAAAAGACCCTTAAGATCACCAAGTCCCACTTTTAACCTAACACTGATACCAGCCCTCAACCATGTTCCTAAGCGTCTTGTCCACACCTCTTGTAAAACCCTCCAGGGTGGTGACTCAACCACC